CTTTTATACATTTGTTCATATTTTTTAGCACTTTGTATACTTAGGGATACAGTAGACATGTGTTGACTGCTTAGATGACTGCAGGATTCCATCCATGCCATTTTAGCACAGAGGCATCCACCTCACTCAGTATGGGCATAGTTTTATACACTTGGAACATAACTAAGTAACTAGGGAAACACACCATCATGCAGATTGTCAAGTGTATTTTCCTTGCTTTTATTTTCAGAAACCCCAATACACTTCTCAGTGCTGAAGACAGTGCTTATAGCCATGGAGCAAGGATTAAGACTTTCAAGGCAATCTCAGAGATAGTAGAGAAGAAAGAGGCTGGAAGGTCAGGAACTGTATTAATCCATCATCATCCTAGTCCTTCGCCTTGGTGACTATGAGTCTTTCTCAGGGAGGCGCAGGACACTCTGTCCCTTCTCCTGTCAAGGGCACCTACACAGAACTGCATCCAGCCCTCTTAGCAAAGACCTAATTCCTTGAGAGTCAAGCTTCTTTTGCAAAGTGTAGGTTTTCCTGAAAGTTAATATAACAAAGTTAGGTTACCTAGGCAAGACAAAAAGGGGGAAATCATTAAATCTAAAACTTAATTTAGAAACTAAAAGTAGCTCCTTTTGATTCAATAACAGCTAACATTTCCTAAATGGCAAGTGTTCTAAGAGATTTTATTAACTCACTTCAGACTTCAAGAAATGAAGAGGTAAGTTGTCTGTCTTCCTCTTCTTCCTCTCCACTTGTTTAAATGTAGATGAATACCATCTGAAATGTATTGGCATCTTAATCTTGAAAGACGTTGAGATGCTTTGCTAGTGTGTGAACCAAGTTCCAAAAAAAAATATGAACAATCAGAAACTGTTTGGCCCAAACCAACCACCCTCACTACCCTATTCCCATCTCTTCATTTCTTTTTTCTTTCTCTCTCTCCCTTGCATGCACACACACATACACACATACACACACACACACACACACACACACACTAGAAGATAGGCTACCATGATAGTTTTCAAAATAATTTGTTCTGCTTACTTTAAGCTTGAATAAGGAAAGAATCAGTAAGTTAACTTAAAAAATAAAAGGTGCATTTCTTCCCATTAATCTATGCCCCACCCAAAAATAACAAGAAATTACACTTAGTTTTAAAGAAATCAAAAATAACCCATAAACACATCCCCAAAATAATACTATTTTGTTGTAGACCTCCACATCTTTTTTTCCCTCTGCATATATGGTTTTCCTTAATTGAAACCACCTGCATATACACTTTTGTTCTCTTTTTTCACATAACATTACATTATCATTTTCCTGTGTTATAAATTCTTCCTAAGAATATTTTTGTGACTACAGTGGTATATACTTCATATTGTAAGCTAGGGCTAATTTTTTTTTTTTTTTTTTTAATTTTTATTAGTTGGAGGCTAATTACTTTACATCATTACAGTAGTTTTTGTTATACATTGACATGAATTAGCCATGGATTTACATGTATTCCCCATCCCAGTCCCCCCTCCCACCTCCCTCTCCACCCGATCCCTCTGGGTCTTCCCAGTGCACCAGGCCCGAGCACTTGTCTCATGCATCCAACCTGAGCTGGTTATCCGTTTCACCCTAGATAATATACATGTTTCAATGCTGTTCTCCTGAAACAGGGCTAATATTAATAAGTCTCACCTCAATGGCTCCTTCGGTTTCTCTGTTTCCACATACACAACCTTTTCAAAAAATAATTCTCAGTAACAACGCAATCATACAGGAATTTTCATAAGCGTGGTTTTTCTTCTGGGTTTGATTGTTGGCCAGATTACTTCTGCCAAAACTGGTCCGCTGCTATCCAAAATGCTTTAAAATTGCCATCTGACCATTTATAATGAAGAGGTGTGCAAACACAATGATTCTTTAATATAAGAGATTGCACCAGCAAGAAAAAACAATGTTTTGAAAAAGTACATTAATTCAATCAAATGCTACTGCATAAGACAATCAATATTTTAGAGATGGTAGTTTCCAAACAATTAGAGTATTAGTATTGAGCCCTTTTGTATACACAGCAAAACCCACACAACCATGGCAATAAATGGCCTATGGAATACAAATTGATATTAGATTCATAATTATATTTTCTCATCAAATTTTTATTTGATTCATGTTTTGTCAATGAGAATAGATTGGTGAAAGTATAGACTTTGAAGTCAGATGTGACTGAATTCCAGATCTGCCATTTAGTAACTTCATTTTTCTAGGCACGTTGTTTCATCTCTGAGACTCAGAGACCTCATGCACTGAATAAGGAACATTAAAGCCCATCTTATGATGTCATTTATCCTAAGGAGTAACTGAGACACTGTGTGAAGATTCTTAACAGTTCGTGATAGATAATGGAGGGTTCATTAGTGCTAATTCTCACTGGTCTTCCTTTTCCTTATATAGTCAAGTTTACCCAACAGACATTTAGCTTAATTCCTGGTTCACTATACACATCCTTTCCAATCTTCCTGCTATGTATATACATAGATCCTGCCATATCCTCTTGCACAGAAATGTACTATATGTAAATGCAAATTTTACTCTATGCAAATACATATAGGACAATTTCCAAGTAGCAGCTATTCATATGCACGAATTGTATGCCAACCTACCCAGTCTGGAGAGGGTCGGTGCAGACTGGTTGTGAAAGCAAGCTGGCCAGGGCATCTGCTATGCTCATCAATCGCCAGGCTGGACTTGGCAGATATTCCTAGCTGGTCTGAGAGGATAGTCCCTTCTTCTTTTGTATCCCATGGGGTCCTTCTGAGTACTGTAACAACCTTCTCAGATAGAGAAGTACTCTTCTTCCATCCGGCGTGTCAGAATGGGCCACATTTCAAACTCTCAAGTGTCAGAAAATATAAGGAATGGAATGCAACCTAAAGCAAAACTACTCAAGGTTGTCCATCAGCACCACCTGGAAGCTTATTAGAAATGCAAATTCAGGGTCTCACCGCAGACCTACTGGATCAGAATCTCTGGGGATGGAACTCTTCAGGGACTCGAGTGCTCAAAAAAAGTTTAGTGTAAAGTGGAACCGCATTCCTTCAATAATGTGTTCTAAGTACCTGCCACTCTCATTTGACACCAGACACACAGGCCCACTTGCTGTAACTTAAAATCAGAAAAGTAAGGACTGAACATAATTAATTAGAACTGTTAAAATTCTATCCCTATTTTATCAACAGTTCTAGTTCTAAATTTCAGACTATTTTCCAATTTCAGTTAAAAATTCATTTGAAATGCTTGCTTTTTAGCAATAGGTATTTCACTGGTGTTGAAATCAGTTTTCTCAAAATAGGGAATCATGCATTGCTCCAGTCACTTAATCCAGGACATGCTTCCTGAAGTGCCAGCATTAGCAGCGTCATCTGGGGGGGTGGGCGACAGCTTCTGCATGGAGGGCACATGTGCTCATAGCAGTTCTGCAGCGGGTGGCCGTTGTCATCTCCGTGACTGGCCATGGGGTTCCTAGTAACTAGAGTCACCGGGTACATGATCAGGAAGAACACAGGTGGTCGAGAACAGCAATCACTGCTGGAATCAATATGAAATGTATGTGGATAAAAGTCTGGGGTCATGAATTATTCTATCAAAAGTGTCTTTATAAAAAAGTTAATGACATAACTAGAGCTTTAGTTACCTTTTATTTTTCCAATTTGAAAGAAGATTCAAATCAAATTATATTTGAAACCCAATCACTTGTGGCTTTTGAAATGTCTCAAATGTATTTGCCTCATGTTCATTTCTCAAAATATCATAAAGCATAATTTGGCAATATCTAAACATATTCAGCTTCATGTTGTTTAAAATATGAAAGTAGATCTTTTTTTCTAATTATAAAGCTTATACCTGTTTATGTATAAAATTCATGCAAACATAAAGCGAGGGGGAAGCAACTCAAATTTACCATCTGAAGATAATTGCTTTTAACATTTTAGGGGTTATTCTTACATACATCTTCCTATAATCACCCACACACAATTTTACATAAATATGATCATATTATATTTGAGGGGTTCAACTATTTTTTTTCCTCTCCTTCCTGTATCCTGGAGATATTTAGATCTTGGTAAATATAATTTGGGCTTCCCGGTGGCTCAGTGGTAAAGAATCCGCCTGCAATGCAGGAGCCACAGGAGACGCGGGTTCAATCCATAGGTCAGGAAGATCCCCTGGAGGAGGAAATGGCAACCTGCTCTAGTATTCTTGCTTGGAAAACCCAATGGACAGAGGAGCCTGGTGGGTTACAGTCCATGGGGTCTCAAAGAGTCATGCATGACTGAAACAACTGAGCATGCATGTATACCAATATTATTTATGTTTTTTAATAGCTATGTAGAATTTCATCTTATGGATTACATTATATGATAATATATAAAACTAATCCCCAATTCATAGACTTTAGAATGCTTGTAGATTTTCATACTTCTAAATTACTGGGAGAGTATTCACTGGCAGTCCAGTGGTTAGGCCTCCAAGCTTCCACTGCCAGGGGCCAGGGTTCAGTTCCTGGTAGGGGAACTAAGATCCCACAAGCTTCACAGTGTGGCCAAAATAATAATAATAATAATAATAATTTGGGGGGAAACATCTTTGTACATGGACATCTTTGCACTTTTCTTGGATACAGCGTGGTCCAGTTATTTATAAATAACTGGAAGCAAAGCTGTTGTTAGGAAAGTGGCTTCCCTGGTGGCTCAGATGATAAAGAGTCTGCCTGAAATGTGGGAGACCTGGGCTCGATTCCTGGGTTGGGAAGATTACCTGGAGAAGGAAATGCCAACCCACTCCAGTATTCTTGCCTGGAGAATTCCATGGACAGAGGAGCCTGGTGGGTTATAGTCCATGGAGTTGCAAAGAGTTGGAGACGACTGAGCAAGTAACAATTCATTGAAACATATACATCATCATATGTATAATAAGATAGCCAGTGGGAATTTGCTATATGATTCAGGGAGTTCAGATCTAGTGCTCTGTGACAACCGAGAGGAATGGGACGAGGTGGGAAGTGGGCGGGAGGTTCAAGAAGAAGGGGACATACGTATACCTATGGCTGATTCATGTTGATGTATGGCAGAAACCACCACAACCTTGTAAAGCAATTATTCTCCAATTAAAAATAAATTTTAAAAAATAAATAAAAAGACTATGTCAGGTCCCCTCCCATATTCAGAACATGAATCTTCTTTACCTGTACTCCAGCCAAGAGAGTGTCACTTGTTTTAATCTTTGCCAATCTGATAGACAGAAATGGACATCTCATTCTTATTTCTGTTTCTTTCATTACAAGTGAAGCTAAAGAAAATTGAGTTCAGGGTACATGTAAAATGAACTGAATATCTCAGGACCCCTCTGGTTAGCATTTGAGTTAATTGGACCGTGCTGTATCCAAGGAACTTTTAATTTATAAGCTTGGAAACGACACTTTTTTGAGCCTCGTTAGGAGAAAAACACACAGCGAGCTTCTCTTAAAAGAAACAGATAAGAATAATTTAAATACATCAGAGCATACGGCTTCAGGCATCTTGTCATTTTTAAAGATATTTATAATCTTGAAAAAAAGTATTTGGGGAGAAAAATCATCCTTTTCAGTGTGATTCTATCATTATAAATATATGCCAGACATGATCTCTAAAGCAGATTGGGAGAAGAATTAACAGTCAGGAAGTCAGGATTCTGTTCTAGGTTTTGCCACCAACCAACTTGGTGACCTTATAAAATTGACTTCACCCCTATAGGCTTCACTTTCCTCCTCCAAAAAAAATGAAAGGAGCTCCTTGAGGTCTTGACAGCCTAAGACGTGATGATGATATACATTCTAAAGACAGTAGCTTTGCTGGCCCCTTTACTGACAAATATCCAATCCTAGCACTAAGTCAGCTCTAGCTCCCCATCTGGAGCATGATGATAGATATTGAGCTTAGATCTTGGTCAAATGCAAACAGTCCATTTTTGTTTCAATAACATGTAATAATCTAGACAATTGGGAGAAGTAGGTCTTTTATTTTTGCATTTGAGAGTGCATGTGTATGTGTATGTGTTTTTCCATTCAATCATTTCTCAAATATTCATTGAGCATCTGCCATCTTACAGGCTAGTGCTAGAAATACAAGAATCAACTAGAAAAAATTTCCTTCCAAGGAGCCCAGTGTCCAGTGGGAAAATGAACAAATAAGAAAGCAAATGTTGTCTGAAAGAAAAGTGGACGTTGTGCTTAAATAATATGATTTCTTTTCAAAACTCTCATTTGTATGAGACAACATTTCCCCTTTCCCCCATTTCACAATACAGATGAAAATGATGAAAGTTCTGAGCAATGTGTTAGGGGAAAAAAAAGGAAAAATTGGAACCTCTTTTAGAATTAAGATATCCTCTTTGAATAATGGATCCTAACATTGCCTCTTAATTGTTCAAATATAAACAACCTAGAAAGCATTTACCATAGGTGAAACCTAAGATAGCCATTTGATCCTAAGTTCAAGAAGGACCAGATGCAGTACCATATCTGCCAACCAAGGCAAAGCAGAACTGGGGGTAAAGCCCATCCAGAGGAGACTCATTCAGGCTGGCAAAGCACCATGTTCACGTTCACCACAAACCCAGTTGCAGTTGAACTAATGGCCAGCTTCCTGGGTTTCAACCAATGGGCAGAAGCTAACATTTTGCAACTCAGAGTAGATGATATCAGCATCCCAGGAGGGTGACATTTGGCAACTGAGAAGTCATTTCATGGATAACAGGAATCCAGCTACAAGCCTGGGATTCAGGCTTGAACTTTTAAGCTACTGAAAAGGAAATTAGAAACTGTCTAGGAAAAAAAAAAAAAAGATTGTAAAGGCCATTGGTAACAAAAAACAAAGACCAGAGGAGAAACTGGGTTTTGTGAGCTAATCCAATAGTTCTCAGAGGAGCCTGGTAGGATGCAGTCCATGGGGTGGCAGGGAGTCGGACACAACTGAGCAACTATCACTCACTCGCTGCAGTAGTTCTCAACGTCAGCACACATTCAGATCACTCCCGGGGCTTGTTAAAGCTCACATTCTTGGACCCTACCCCCAGAATATTTGATTCAGTAGGTTCAAGCCAAGAATCTGCTTTGTAAACAAGTTCTCAGGTGATGCTCATGTTTCTGGTCCAGGCCATGGGCCACACTTTGAGAACCACCTACAGAACAAACGAAGAAGAACTCACTCGAGGCTCAGCAACTCAGACACAGAAACTTTATTTTCCCAGTGAGAGGTCTGAAATGAAGGTGAGCGCCGTGGAGTCTGTGGTTTTAGCTGAGGCTGAGTCCTGGTCTGTGAGCAGAGAGTGACTGGGACAGCAAGGTGAATATCCACAAGATGAGAGACGGAAGTGTGACAGAAGCTGAAGTGCTTGATTTAAGAACAAGTGCCACGGACGGGGGCCTGGGGGATACCCATGATCCCAGTTGTGGGGAGCAGGGGAGAGGCAGAGGTGGCACCCAGACAGGACGTGGCCTCACTCTCCACAGGGACTCATCACCATCTCTCCGAAACTAGGTCTACTGCTGCCTGTGAACATGTGATCTTCTTCAGGTCTACTTGAAGAGAACTTCTATATCTAAGTTCTGTTCCAAATATTTGCTTTAACCCTTGGAAACTGCCAATATTTAATAGCTTTGCTTCCATACAAAAACAGTGGCAATTTCATGAGGTTCAACCTAATATAGACTAGAATATGAGCTGAAAATAAATGCAAAACTCTTTATGTTTAATTTAGTTCTTTTTTAAAAAAAAATTTCTTTAATGAGGAATCAGCTCTTACGTTTCCCATATTTGTTAGATTTAAGCACTTTGAGGATTTTTCTGCAGTAAATTTTCCATCTTTGAAACTGCTCTCACGGAGAGCCGACTCCGATCTGCTGCCCCCTGCTGTCTGCCAGAGAAGCAAGCTGATTTTAAATGTATTGGGGAGGTCAGAGCTATTAAAAAAAAAAAAAATTCAGGATTTCTAAATATGTCATTTAGGATTATCCCTTGTTTCAAATAATCCTTGCCACTGCTTTTCTCCATTATAAGACCATTGAAACTTGATGGGATAAGGCATTATCATGTGAGCCCTACAAGCATGACATATTTCCCTTTGGGATATAACTTAGAGTCAGAAAAGAAGGATGGAATTACAGCTGGACTCTCAGTAACCCTCACTAATGGCAGGGACAGCTGCTTCCAGGTTTCAGTCATCAGGCTAAGAGGATGTAGTGAAGAGTAATAGAATAAAAGGGTTTCAAGCTTGGATCTTAGAGATTTTGCTGAAGTGTGTTTGCATTTAATTACCTTCAACAAAAACTGGGGTTTATGCTCTGGTGGTTTTGTTCTCTGTGTGAAAAAACCGTATGAGTGTAAGCCAACTCCAGTCCTTTGCCCTCAATTCTTCTCTGTAACATCAAAAGGGACTGCTGGCTTTTTATAAGAATCACTGAGCTTTAGATCTGACACAGAAGGAACTGTGTGCTGCTGGTGGTAACTGATGGTTACTTGCGGGAAATGAAGAAAGTGCTTAAAATTGAAGCCAGTATCAGTTGGAAAGTCGAGATTGTAATTCACATACACAAGTGTTTAAATGCCACCCCTTCCCCACTCAGCACTTGTTCTTGTTTGTTTTTAAAAGCTGCTTTGCACCCTGTTTCTGAAGCTCGGGGTGGGAAGTATCTGTGTGTGTGTTCCCATGAGCCCTGTCTCATTTCCCAACTGCAAGTGACCTTTCTCTCTCCCGGAGCCATGAACCTTAGACAAGACAGGGCTCTGACCCGGAGTGGTACAGGTGCTCCCAGTTGGACCACAGGCTGTAAACTTTAAAGTGACTGTTCTGAATTATAGCTGTCATTTAGTTCAGCAATATTAGTGAACTTTTCCCCATAATTAAGTAGGCTCTGGACTTCCAGGAAACAATAAATCCCTTCCAAAGGCTCACAATCTACTAGCAGTTTCCTGAAACTGTATGTAGGTTGGTTTTACTCAGCTCTTACTATGGTAAAAGAAATTGTTGGCTGAAACTTTTTACCTCCCATTCGCACTGTTCATTGGAATGCCAGCCTCATGAGCATTTGCTGCATTGATGCTTATTTCTCTAAAGATGAAGACCAAACTTGGCTCACAGGATCCAGCCCACAGCTGCATCTCTTTCCTGAAGGGTTTCTTCTGCTTTTTCACGTCCAATCTGTGTGGATTGATTCTCTTATAAATACAGTCAAGATTAATTACTGAGATAAATGAAAGGAAAACAAAAGACCATGCAAAATGTAAGCCCAAGATGTTGCTATTGGGTTAAACAAACATAAAATTACTTTGTGAAATTGCTATAGGTGTCTAAACTTTCATCCTTTCAGTGTCTATACCTGTCTCATCGCAATATGGTGACAGACAGTCCACAGATCCAAACACCACACTTTGAGTGGCACAAGGTGACCCCTGCCCACCTCTCCTGTCACGCTGCAAGCACAACCTCTTCCCCCTTCTCAGGATGTGCCACCTTCCTTATCCTGCAGGGCTGTCCCCTCTGTCCAGAAGTCTCCAGCCTCTCTGTGCCTGATTAACTGGAACCATCTAATGGATCTCAAGTTACATGTCTCTGTCCACCATGACCTCCTAGACTTGGTCACGGCCTCTGCTCTGGGCTCTCACTGTACCACTCTCCTCTCCTCATCACACTCATCACCATTTACAAAAATGCAGCTCCTTCACTAAGCTGTAAACTCCATGAATAGCATGCTGTCATTAGTCTTGTTCACCAAGGATCCCAAATGACCAGCACAGTGGATGTTTGATAAATACTTGCTCGATTTATAGATAATGAAAATATAACCTGAATTTGTATCATTCAAATCCTTATTTTACAAATGAGAAAAATGAGCTACAGAAAGTTTAAGCACTTTGCCCAAAATCTCCAGACATATATATATATACACATATACATACATACATATATATATATATATATATATTTATTTAAAACTATTTCAAATCTGTCAGATTCCATACCACCCCCTTTGTATGACACATTCTAAAATGGGACATTATACAGACATAATGAAAGCTGCTTTAGACGATAGCATTTCTATGAGTTGAAGCCTAGCTTTCAATTCTATGTTATTTCTGAAACTATCTGGAAAATTTGCACCAACAATATTTTATTTTATGATCCATCTATTCATTCCACAGATACTTACTGAATACCTACTGTATGCCAGAGACCATTCTAAGTGCTGTGGATGTAGTAGGAAATGAGGAAGCCTAGAGTCTGTTGGGTCTCAACTTAGTGGTAGAGACATCAGCAGACATCAGCAAACACATAAAAATACCCATGATCGGTGATAAGTCCTGTGAAGAGAATAAGCACAAGATAAAGGGATAGAGAGTGATAGAGGTACTATTTGTGATAATGTGATCAGAGGGCCGCTTTAAGGAGGTGGCCCTTGAATTTAGACCTGAACATGAGAAGAAGCCCCAAGGGTCCAGTGGCAAGCAAAGGGGACAGCAACTGCAAAGTGTTGGGCTGGGGACGAGTCCAGTTCTGCTGCAGGGCCTGGAAGTGTGATAGGAGCGCACAGTGAAGGAACAGCAGAGGATTTCAAGGTTGGGAAGGTGAAGGGTGGCCAACTGTGGCTGGCTGGGGCAGAGGCCAGTGACATGATCTGATCTGTCTTTCCAAAAGACCACTGTGAGTGTGAAGGAGAGTATTGAGGGGGTTAGGGGGTTGGACAGGTGGAAGAGGACGTCAAGGATGCTAGGTCGGCGGTCCAGGCAAAAGATGAGAGGAGGGCAGCAGCAGAAGTGGTGGTGGTGAACCGCAGTCAGGTTCAAGACTGATTTTAAAGGCAGAGTTGACAAAATTTGCTGGTAGATTGGATGTCGGAGGTGAGAGAAAGAGAGGACTCAGGATAATTGCAAGATCTTTGACCCGAGTGACTGAATGAATGAATGCTAGTGCAGGAAACAGGGATGTTAGAAAACTGCGTAGGAGCATTTGGAGTGTGGGCGTTGGTTTGAAATCAAGAGATAAGGTGTGTGGGGGTAAATGACACATAGTGTAGACCACAGAGAGAAAACACTTTTCAACAGAATTCATCAGAAACCTCATCATGCTGACATTTTCTTCAATGACTTTATCTGTGCATGTATTTTATGCCATAATAGTTTAATTATTATGTAAGAGAGAGTAGCCAAAGTTAGATAGAATAATAGAATTAGAAATTGAAATGTTAACACTTACAGAATATGGGCACAGATTTACTGGTAAAGTCAAGATAAGTTTCTTAAATTTAGGGATAATGGGTTAATCTTTTTCCTTGAAAATAAGTAGCACTATGTTCAAGGTTATTTATTATAGCAATGATTATAATGGCAAAAAATAGAGAATTGTTACTAGTAAGATGTCATGCTCAGTTGCTTCAGTCGTGTCAGAGTCTTGGCGACCCAATGGAAAACATAGCCTGCCAGGCTCCTCTGTCCTTGGACTTCTCCAGGCGGGAATACTAGAGTGAGTTGTCATTTCTTCCTCCAGGGGATCTTCCAGACCCAGGGATCAAACCCACATCTCCTGCATCTCCCACATTGGCAGTGAATTCTTTACCACTGAGCCACCTGGGAAGCCCTACTAATAAGATACTATATAAATAAAGTATACCCTTGCAACTGAATATTATACCGATATAATAAAAATGAAGAAATTCTCTATGTACTGATACAGAAGAACCTTTAAGATGTATTAAGTGGTGAAAGCAAGGTGTAGAATTGGTATAGAATGTTACCTTTTATCATTAAGAGAATGGGAAAATAAAAATATGTATAGTATCTGAGTTTGCTTATATAAGCAGAAAGAAACTCTGAGAGGATAAATAAGAAACTAATCACAGTGTTACTTATGGATGGGGCGCTGTGGATGGATGAATTAGGGAGATGGGGATAAGGGTGTGAGGAAGATTTTCCATTAGATATCTTCTTTAATTTTTAAAATTTTTGAACCATGTAACATCTGTTCAAAATATTAAATTAAGAAAAGAAACATAACACTATGCAGAATCAAAGAATGACCAGTATTATTATTGAAAGCACACTGTAGCCAGTGAAACCTTTTTTAAGCAAGTCACTTCCTCTGGCCTCTGAGCATCCCCCCAGGAAAGGGGAAGATGAATTTCTATTGTGAACTCTTCCCTCTCCTGCACTTTCCAACCCTTCCTTCTCAGATTCTGCACAGTCTTCCAGCTTGAGTTAAGAAAGAGCCAGAATGTCTGGTTTCTAAGATGAAAGTGATAAATAAGTCATCTTATTATATTTGCTTGGTTGCTTTCTTCTTACTCTGCCAAAGTTCAGTGCTTTACTGCCACTTTTCTCTCATTCATTTATTCAATAAATATTGATTGGGCATCTCCTATGTGCAGTGCACTATATCCTAAATATACAAAGATTAATCTAATTTTTTATTGATCCTCTTAGTATATTAAAAGTATAAGGTGGCAAGGAAATATATACCATCCTCTTTGCAGGTAGGAATGTATACCAACCTCTTTGCATACCAACTGACCTCATGGTATGGAAAATATATAACAACCCCTTTGCATGGTCCCCAGAAATTGAATCATTGACCTGAAATCACAAGTACTTAATAAGAACAGCATATGCATTTGCCACCTGGATCTAGGAAGCAAAATCCACTTTATTCCATTTCTTTCTAAAGTAATGTTAAGGATCAGATTTCACTTTAAGGGAAAGTAAGACAGCTTGTCTCTTTCCTTACAGTGAGCGCTACTGTGTCTACTGTGGTAAGAGTTTAAAGTATGTTCTTTCAACTTTTGAACTTAGGTTTGAAAACATTCATTCACTCATTTTTTCATTCCAAAGACATGATCCCTTCCCAGGGGCTAGGTATGATGGTAGATGGTGAGAGCAGTATGAAAATGATTCAGATTTAGGATCCATCTCAAGAAGGTAACATTTAGCCTGCTCATAATTAACTATGATATACATAATACACATCAGAAATGATCCATGCCTTAGGAGAGGTTCGGAGAAAGTGTTCTAAAGAGACGGGTATCAGCTGAGCTGCCAAGGCAACAGGGAAGGCTTCATCTCAGGACCCCAGGCAGAGGCCACTCTGATGGGGTCCGGATCAGACCTACCCCAGATAAAACTGAAGCCTGTGAAAACCTCCTAGCAGGAGAGAAGCTTCTGTATCCAGTGCTCCTGGTGTGGAGCCAAAGGATATCTCTTGATTATATACCTTAATTTCTATGTCATTGAAATACTTTGATAGCACTGATGATAGTTTAGATATTCACTGTTTACTTGAACAGGATGTCACGTGATTAGTAATAAATATAGTCCCAACTTGTCCTCCATATAAACAAGGTCAGTAACCCTATTAGTCCAGTCACATAGTTAAAAAATCTAAAACTTAATTTAAAATAACAGCCAACATTTTTACAATACATACTGTGCTTACCTACTTTACAAGCATTGCTTCTTTTCATTCTTATATCAAAATTACAAGTTAGAGACACTGTTACTACTGTGCCCATTGTACAGATAGGGAAATAGAGGCTTGAAGAGGCTGTTACCTATAGTCTTACAGCCACTAAGTGGTAGAACTAGAAGTTGAATCCAGCTTTGTCTGATCCCAAACCTGTGATCTTAACTACTGTGCCCCTGGTTTTCAAACTTTGCACACACCAGAACAACTAGAGGGCTTGTTTAAACAGTTTGATGGCTCCACTGCTAGAGTTTCTAATTCAGTAGGGTGGGAGTAGTGTCCAAGAATTTGTATTTCTAATAAGTTCCTGGGTAATGCAGATGCTACATTTGAGAATCACTACTGTCTGCTGCTCTCCTACCAATGGTAGTGTTCCCAATGTTCTATGGAGGAACATGAATCCACTCTCAGCATATAAATATTTATGCCAATTTTCCCTTTATTGGAATAATCAAGAATTCACTCAAAGTCTTTGAACAGGCTGATTCACAGACAATTTAAAGCAAATAACCAATATATTAAAGTTCCTAATCAAATTCTCCTATGAAATGAATGTGAAATTTCTTTTCATCAAGGGCAGGGTTGATCTTCCTACATGAATGAAGATTTTTAAATTAGTTGAATGGCATTCTGATCACCAACTTATAATAGTTCCAGTAAACATCTTATCCTTCAAACAGAGATATGATATGAGAAGTCAAAGCAGGCAAGTTGTCAAACTCTAAAGGCAGCACTGGACAAGCGAGAAGAGATGTTATCCTGGGGACCTCTAAATGAAGGAAATGTGTCTTACATCCTGCCATGGTCTCTTCTTATAGCATCCTCTGCTTCTCCTTGATGGTATTTATCACACTTGAAAATGTTTGAGTACTATCTCTCATTTATTCTAAATTGTAAGCATCACATCTGTCTTGTTTACCACCAACTCCTCAGCCTGGTACAGTGCCTGGCAGTGTTTGCTGACGGGCTGACTTATTGCTCTCTATTGCATAATCTTGCAGGCAACACATCACAGCCCGGCAGTTACAAAGCTGCCTTGCCAGCTCCAGAGAGAACTTTTCTTACAGAAAATACAGTAAATACCTGTATATTGCAAGGAATGGAGGAGAAAGAACAGTGTGAACGTGCCATAAATCAGAGGCAACATGCTTTTATTGCCCATTGCAAAGCCTTTTCCTAAAGCTCTTCTCTGAGATGCCTTCTTCCAGTTAAACCATTTCTGGGCTAAAATATAAAGAAAACACACATCGCTTGAGGAAAGCTACAGCTTAATGAGGCAAAAAATAAAAACATCCTATGAGTCCCATCCAGCTGTGTGGGTATTTCCTGCCAAAAGATGTAGGAGTTGGAGTAGTAGGGGGTGTGCCTGAATGTGAATGGATGTTGGAGGCCCAGATGCTTGCAGGCTATATCAGGAAGGACCAGTGACTGTGCTCATTGCCATGCTCCAGATGACACAGTAGCCATCCCTACCCTTGTGCACCAGGGGGGGGGATGCTGCCTGAGTCATCCCTCTCAGATTCTCAGATCACATATGTCTCTTCTCACTCCCACTGTGCTTGTGATGATACTTCCTGAGTTTCAGAGCGCTGGAAGAAGAGTCATAAAGCTTGAGGGCATAGATAGGAAAACCTTTAGATGGAAGCTCAGCAAATACAGTTGACCAGAATACATTTGTAATTTAGTTCAATATGGAGTTGCCAGCATCAGAAAGATGAGTGCCTCTTCTACAGACGGAGATCCTAAGTAAAAGTCTTCATTCTGCTAGTTCCTTAACTGATTGACAGGATGGTGTCCATTGGATTATGCCCTAGTGTGATGGTACTGGCCAGTGTGGAAAGACAGTGAGAAA